CGTAAACAGCAAAACAACTCACAACACAAGTAAACAATGAGTAATACTATACTTGTAATATTACATAAAATTATAAATATATAATTATAATATAATATTAAATAAATATTATATTATATTAAATAAATGAATAAATCAAATATTATGAATAAATTTTTAAATAAAAAATTATATAATAATATATTATATTATTATAATCTTAATCAAAATAGTACATGCCATTATAATTATAATATTTTTACACAAAGCAGAGAAAAACACATCAAGAACACCCCCCAAAACACGTAAGGGAGAAAAACACCATCGAAAAGCAACATACATCACTGAACAGAAATAGCTAATACAACTTCCTCAAAAAACCAAAAAAAAAAGAAAAAAAGAAAAAAAAGCTAATACAACAATTTCCCAATTGGATTAATTTAGTAGTTTCCGCTTGGGGGAAACAGAATCCCCATAAGGAGGTGCTCTGTTTCTGACAGAAGCAGGTTTTCAGTAAGACATCGCTGGCTTTTTTTCTTCTCCAATTTCAGCACCTTTTTCTTCTCTTTAGCAGCAGCTTCCATTTTGTCAATTTCTTTCATCAAGCGAATCGTCTCGGCCCTCATGTCCGCCACCTTCCTCAGTTTCTTCAAGATCTTTTTGGTCTGCAGATATATATATATATATATATAGAAGAAAACAAGACAATATTCAATATATTCTTCTAATGAAGCTAATCACTCGATCATAAAATGCAGCGGCTCTGTGACAACCTGGAGGTTCCGGCGCTTTTTTCCGATCAATTTGGAACTGCTCATCTCTGCTTTCACTTGATTCAGCACTTCTCCTTCTTTCTTCTCTGTGTCCTCAGAGCAGGCATACACATACCCAGATTTTGCAAATATATTACCAACTCAATTTAATTAATTCAAAGAAAATTAAGAAGGAGATTAAAACTATGATGATGAAGAAACCTCACCGGTTTTTGTGTCGCTGGGGTCAGTGGGGCTACCGAGTGACGGCGGAGGGTTGTCTTGTCTCTATCCTCTGCTTTCTCTCGCCTCGTCTTTCATTTTTTCTACCTGTGGATAATAATTTTATATATATACTACAACTGAAGTCTGAGACATTATCTACGGTTTGCATTAAAAGAAAATAAAATAGGAATATTATCGACGGGGTCGCGCGACGACTGCAACTTTTTTTCTGAAAAACGCCAGTTAACGTGCGACCACCCCGTTTTCCTGGTTTCCCCTTCTCAACTCTTTTGTGCACCAAAGTCATACGGCTGAGCTGGGGAAAAAGAGTGATGACGGCACTCGCACGTAATTCCTAGATCATCTCGGATTTTAAAAATAATATAATTATCACCTTTCGGTTGATTTTATAAGTTTATAATTATAAGATATTGTTACATGATTTATGGAATTAGTGCAATATAAATCGTTCTCTTAAATTTTTTTTTTTTGAGAATTTGATTGGAAGATAAAAATTTATTTTTTAATTAATATTTTTAAAAACTAATAATTAAAAAGATAGTGTTATAAAGATAACTTTTTTGTTTTACGTTTTTATATAATTTCACATGTTATTAATTGAGTAGATACATTCAATATAATGGATTCCATATTAATTAAAAAATTAATCATTTTAATGACACATCAGGTTGTATAAAAAAATTAAACAAAATAGTTGTCCTAATAGCATTTCCCTAATTAAAATAAAAATTATATTCATATACATCATATATATCAATTTTCATGTTATTTTAAATTTATAACTATTTGATAAAAAAAATTTATTTACTAATATATATTTAACAATATTAAATTCTGTATAACTAATAAATTATTAAGCTTACTACATCAATATGATAATTGACATGCGTAATTTTTTAAAATATTAATTAAATTGTTAGTTTTTAAACACATTTTCTAAAAAAATTGGGAAGATAACCTGCAAAATAATTTTTCCATAATTTATTCTTTGTAATTGAGAGTTTACCCAATAATATTTATATCTCTATTTATTTAATAATATGTTATAATTTATTTATCTAATAATATATCATGATTATAAGTTCATAACCTCTACATAATATTAAAATAATACATATACTTATCTAATAACATATTATTATTGTAACTTCACAGTTTTATATATCACTGGAATGAAAATTTGTCGTTTTTCATTATAGGAGCCCAGCCTCTTCCATATATGATTGAAGTCCCAAAGATAAAGTTAAAGGGAATAGCATAGGTCGTATTGTTTTTTAAAATTTTACTTTTTAATTAATATTTTTTAAAATTAATTGTGAAATTAAAAATTTTATTTTTATAAATTATATATGTTAATTTTTATATTGATATTTTAATAAAAATTTATTTATTAATATATATTTAATAATATTAAATTTTTATATTTAATAAAGTAATTAAATATATTAAAATAATTTAAAAATTAATATATGTAGTCTATATTAATAAAAAATTAATTTAATAATTAATTTTTAAATATATTAATTAAAAATAAACTTTTATACAAGCTTTTTAGAATAAGAAAACTTCAAAACACTTTTCTAAAATTAAAGCAGGTAGCACAATGATCTAAATAATTTAGTTATTATTTTTTTTCGTTTAAAATAAAAAAATCTTAAATTTCAATCATATAATATATAAGTGAAGTGAAATAAAAAATAAAACATGATTATTTTTTATTATGCAATCAAGATAAAAAAAATAAAATAAAACAAGTACCACAAATCCATGTGAATTGTGACATGTTCGAGAATTTCTTTTTTTTTTTTTCTTTTTAATTGAACTTTTTTTTTTTTTTTTTTTAATTGAACAGCTACAATTTGACGCAGAGGATGGGGGATTTGAGCATCGCAGCCCTATGACTCATCTTGACCAGTGCTCAGACGGTGCGTGCAGCAGCACCTGCCAATTTGTCTCTAAAGCCTGGTGCGACATGCGGCAAAATATACAGATTACCCTCTCAACTTTTCGGCCAGTGGCAGGTTACCCCCTTTGGACAATTCCACATGCAAACCAACCCTCTAACTCGTTGTTGGTGGCAAAAAAGCCCTTATTCGACAGCTGATATAAGCAATCTGGTTAAAACTAACAGTCAGGTTCTTATGATGGGCTTCACAGGTGAGATCGCTATAAGCTGGACATGTTTTCACATGCCGAAGCTTTGGTGCCCAATTATTTGACATGGCAATAATGTGGACCGATCAGTGTTCATTAAGTTTGTGTTCTGGGGAGAAGCCCGTTTGAAGCAGATTGGTGATTTGGAGATCATAACTGGTTTTTTATTTGAAACGGACAGGCATTGGCTTTGAAGATGTATATAGATCTGATTCTTTGAAAGGGGCCGTAATACTTTGCTTATGATGTAGACAATGGAAAGGCAAATTGATGTATTGATACGTTCTTCACATCTTGAACAACTGCTCAAAGGAATTCCTCTTGAATGAAAGTATGAGAAGACCCTCTTCATACATAGATGATTGTCCTCTGGAATTTGCAGATCTCATTTGGTAGCCAAGCTAATTTCTCTACATCAACTGTGTGACATTTCACCATATCTCCCACGAAGCTCTCCCAAACAGCATGTTCCTTGTGTAATTCTCCGATCAATATATGGATAGTACCATACAAATTCTCCTTCAGTGCCACTAACACCTTTAACTGCTTCACCACGCCATTCACCTGCTGTGTAGCATTGGCACATGCGTCTCCTATAACAAGGCAGCCCTCTGGCGACTCAACTCCACATTACAGTACTCATGATTCAGGGTACTTTAAACGGTCATTGTTGCAAAACCAGGAGCACCTTTATGATGGCAAGACTGTAAGCATTCAAATCAAAGAACTGAAATACTGGACTGTTCACTGGTCTAAGCCTCCAGGTTAGAGTTAGGCACACTGAAGGCTCGAACTCAGACTGTTCCCTGTCCACAACCACGATTTGCAGCATCAAGGTCCAGGTGAATATCCTACAAGTAGAAGGCAGGTCGGTTCTCTGTACCAATAAGTGAGAGTAGCAAGTTATTTGTTTATAGTGAATCATTAGGAATCATTAGCCCATACAATGACAGACATGAGTGCACGCATATTTTGGCAATATGTATATCTATACGCACTTCACAGCTTCATTCTAGAATTGTTCTTGATCATATAATTTAATTTGTTAAGTAACGTGCCATGTACCTAAGCTGTCTAGTAATAACTCAGTGAAAAACAAAGTTACCCCTGCAAATGGGACAAAGACAAACGGTGTTAGGCCCCTTTTGCATGAGACTGCTGGCACATCTGGGTTGTGAGTTTCATCATCCTGCCACCCTTCAATCACTCCAAGGAGATCCTCCTCAGGACCACCAACCTCATTATTGTCTACACTGCTTGTAACTAGTGAAAGCAGATCCATTTGATTATTTGCCCCTGTTGTTGTTCCTCATAACCTGTAAGAGAAAACAGTTAAGCAAAATGGATAACAGAAGGATTCTACCGAAGAGCAAAAAGCTCTGCCATAGAAGTATACAATTATGCCTTAACTAGAAGTTAAAGATCACCGGCTGCCTTAATGAGGGATTTTATTTTTATTATTATTATGATTATTATTTTGTTGTGTTTCCCTTATTCCTGCAGTCACAACTTACAACCTCATTTTAATATTATTTGTTCGTATACCAACTTTCAACATTACACAGCAACAATGGCAACTATTACACAGTTAGTTCCATCTGATCCAATGTCGAATGCTCTCATCATGTACTTACACCTTGTGAAAATGAATTAACAAAAATGGAAAAAATAGAAACAATATAATTCCTGTGCCAATAATACCTTAAGCAGATTCTCAGCACAGTAGGATGCATACCAGGGTACAAGACAGCAGCTTCAACCTGAAAAAGTAGTTACTGTAAGTCTGTAAGTGCATTAAAAATGTGTATCAAGCTTTTAAATAAAAACCAGGATGATAGGAAATAACCAATTGAACTGTTCAAAATACATAGGAATTGAATATGAAGGCATTCAAAACCTTCCAACTAAAGAACTCACATTTAAATAATGCAAAGAGGAGAACCTAACCTTGTCATCTGATGGTGTATAGTGGCCACGAAAGACAGTCTGCTTTAGATGCTCTGAAGTTCATGCATTTGCCCATGTCCTTTATTTTTTGAGGCAATCAGATTTAGAGCCAACTTCTACATTATGCATCAGGTCCTTAGAAGAATTTAACCTTGTGCAGAAATCTTCTGGAAGTAATTGAGAATCAAACCAATATCAGTGCACGCACAAATTTTATCTTTAGTATACAATGTCCTCTGAAGTTACATGTATAAAAAAAAGCCAACCACACCACCTTCTTTGACGCAAATTACACTCTTGATAAATGAAACATGTTGGCAGTCTAAAGGTTCTCCTTGAAAACCTAAGATAGACCATCATCTAACACAGAAAATGCTTGTTCAGGGTCCTTAAACTCTGAAAATAATTATTGTTTCAATTTTGCAAAATCAAGAACATTACCATACATAATTTCAATATTAAAAAAAAAAGAAAAGAAAAAAAAGAGAGAGATTATAAACCTGAGCCAAAACTTTGACAACTGTGTGGCTAAAGGACATTTGAGGCTCTGGAAGATCCTAAGTTCAAACCACCCACACCCCAAATACCAAACAGGATAAAAGAGAGAAAGAGAAAGAGGAGAAAAATTTATAAAAGTCAATACATTCCAAATTAAAACCAGATAAGGGATAAATCTTACCGTCTGTTCTGACCCTTAGTCTTAATAGCCACATTTTTTCTCCATGACCCTTCATATTTTGACTGCAAAATCTTATAGTTCTCCAAAACTCCAGAGAGCTTTCATAAAAGAGGCACTAATTTTCAAATTTGATGATCAACATATAATAACCTACTAAAGAAATCAAAATCAACACAAAATTTTACCTAACAAGCCTTTAGGCATGCATTACACCAAAACAAAGGGTTACAAATTGTGTACCTCCATTTTCGAGAAACACATGATGCCCTTCCAAGATCATATGGATTCATCCTTGAAAAGACCTGCATATCAATTTCCAGAATTCAAACTACATTTTAGTTATTATCTCTTTCTGGTTTCTGCAAAAACTGGTAATGCTGAAATACCTCATAAAGCAACTCATCTTGCAAGCACCAGTGTATAAGTGCAAGATCAACATGAGGTTTGCTACTTGTGCCTCCAAAGGGTGCAACTGGTCTAATTTTTGCAAAAACATAATTATAATTTGAATATAAAAGGTTTTAGAGGCTTGATGCGGTACTAAGCCATGGCCTTTGAGTTACATAGTATTGGACAGTCTTCAACCGCAAAGCTGCTTCAAGTTCAGCTGGAACTGTTGCAAAATCTGCAACATTTGTCCATTAATTATGGAGAAAGAAACAAAACATATACGAGTAACAAGCATACAACGAACCAGACAAATTCAAACAACAGGGAAATTAAAGTTCAAGACTTCCACCCAATTCAGACACCAAACATTAAACAATAAACATTTAATGCAATTGGAGTAATACATTACTCGTTTTTTGAAATAGAAATTAGAAATTGAAAACATATGATTGACATATTTCCCAACATCTCAGGTCACAGAATCTGATTCAGCCATTTCTATGATTCTCCAAAAAATCAAACTTTACATCCTGTATTAAAATAGGCAAGCATGGTGTTAAAGTGAGATTTCGATGGAAAAGTAGATACCTGAAGTCATCAGAATCGGAGAGGAGAGGACGTCGATTCTCAGATTTTCTCAAGTAATAGAGTGGAACAGAAAATGGAGAAGAATTAGAAAATCCCTTCTGTTAAAGGGGGAAAGTGAGAAACTCTATTACCCACCAAACATTCTGTTAAAGTCTCACTCTCGAAATGGTTAAGAGTCTGGACTCGGTCAGTATCACCCGCATTTTATCCAATTATCTAACGACAGACCTAGTTTATGATG